ACTTAAAGTGCATAAATAAATAATTCATCATAATAAAAATAACAAATAAAAAAAATAATATCCCTTTACTAGAATCTAAAGTTTAAAATTATAGCTTACTGCTAAGCTTATTAACTCCAACTATATCTTAGAATAGTTACTTCACACTGCCCGTAACAAAAGCTAAACTATGTTTTTTTTTAGAAAATAGTTTAAGCTTTTCTTTGCTATATAAAGTTTAGTATATGGATAAATCTAAATGCGCGAAGTGCAATATCCGGATGATACATGGTCCGTCTCATTTTAAATTCAGTCCGGCTTCGTCGCTGACCCAACATATCTCTTCGGAAAATGAATTTTCCGTTACTAAATATGGTGAATAAACTTTCATTTTCCTTCCTATAAATGTCATGATCCTACTCATATTATAAATGAATATTTGGATAGAAGGATGGATGGATGGATGTTTGTTTAAAGGGATCTCCATAACGACTGAACGAATCTTGATGAAAATAGATAAATTTAGAACATACTCCGGAAGAACACATAGGCTACTGATTAAGTTTTTTTATTTATTTCCACACGGACGGAGTCGAGGGCGACAGTTATAATAGTTGTAAGAAGACTAGATGATTTACAATCTCTATTATTGACTCTAAAAGATAATAAAAGCCTAAGTTATAGACAATTGAGTAAAAAAGAACTAATGGTATTCTTTCTCGACAAAACACACGTTAAAATATTCTTTATTGACAAACTGTAAATTAAAATAGCCGTTCCAAATGAAACAGACAGGAACAAAAAGTGACATCGTAACGATTTCTATTGTGACAAAATACTATAAAAAAGTTAGGGTTGCCTACAGCAGTAATCAATAATTGTTCTGAAATCTGAATTTATTCACTTTTAAAATAGATAAAATGAGTAAGTCTATATAAGACTTATTAAAACTTATAATAAAACAGTTCAGTTTGAATTTTCGTTTGTCATAATTCAACAAAAATTGTACAATTATTAGTGTCAACCGTATTTAAATAATATTTATTGTGTGGTAAAGCCATGCAATTTAACCGAATAATAATAGTTACAAAACATTGCGCTGGCAAATAATAAGATCCATAACAAAGTTTATTTCGTTTCTATTCAATCATTTTAGTCTTACTATGAGTAGGAACTTAATAATAATAATCAACATCATCATCAGCTCACTATACGTCCCCACCGAGGGGCTTGGAGCCTACCCTAAGTTAAGGGTGATTAGGCCATAGTCAACCACGCTGGCCAAGTGCGGGTTGGTTGACTTCACACATATCTTTGAATTTCTTCTTAGATATGTGCAGGTTGCATCACGATGTTTTCCTTCACCGTAAGAACGTCGGATAAATGTACATATGTAAATCGGAAATCGAAAAACACATAGTACATGGCGAGATTCGAACCCAGGACGGACCTGCAGATTGCAAGTCAAGTGCTTGACCACTGAGCCACCGACGCTAATAATAATGCATTTATATTATTAGATTGTATGTGATTGTGGATATGAGTCAAAATAGTAATAAAAAAAGCAACTCATTTGCTGCACTCTATAACTTCCGAAAATACAATAAGATGCCTCAACAACAATTATTTTTAATTACTAATAGCATAGGAAAACATTGATTAAAAAGCAAATTAATGTTTATGATTGCTACGGTTATAAAAACTAATAACAGGGTTACCAACATTCATGTTTTATCTAGAAAAATAAGACAACATGACTGTAATTTGTTACTTTCTTAATCTAAATTAAATGTCATTACTATGTATAGTACGACATAATATATTTAACTAACTAACTATGCTAAATGCAAATGATATAACATTCGAAAGCGAATTTTAAGTTGTATTTATCAAGAAAGTGTTACAAGGTATCATTATATGTGTTAGGAGAATATCGTTCAATGATATTCAATGTATTGTTACTATACATAAAATGGAATGAAACAGTTTTTATTTGTCTTTATTTTGTTATATTCTATTTCAAGTCTATTAGGGTCGAACACGACTGCCGAAATTACTTCCGTAAGAAGTAATAATACGATATAACAACACGATTAGGACTCTGTTATTGAACAAATTCATTATCACATTGCTAATTGTTTTATCTGTAAAATATAGTTATATAGTTGAATTATTTAATATGCAAATAATTTAACGATTAGCAATAAATCTAATAGGTACACTTAGACTACTAGAAAAAGTTAATGAATAAATAAGAAAAAAATATTAACAACATTATAAGAGTAATAAGATCTCTAGGATATTAAATTTACATATTTTAATAATATTTACTTGGAGAAATAATAAATATTACTATACTATACAACCTGTCGCCCCCGACTTCTTCCGCGCGTGATTAAAAGATAGATAGTAACCGATTATCAAACCTACTGAATATGAACATAAAATTTCATAAAAATCGGTCGAGCCGTTTCGGAGGAATATGGTTACTTATATTGTGATACTAGAATTTTATATGAAGGACTAATTAATATTATAAATGCGAATGTTCGAAGGTATCTCCAGAATGGTTGACCGGATCTCGCTGAAATTTGGTATCAGTGTAGAACTTAGTATGGAAAAATACATAGGCTACTGATTTAGTTTTACTCTTTATTACGCGCGGACGGAGTTACGGGCGACAGCTAGTATAAGACAATACAGAAAAAATATTTTTACTAGTCATAATAGTATACATTGCCATCATTAAAAGAAAAATACGTAAAATACAAGACAAGTTTTTGCATAATTAATGCAAAAACTGTCATACAATTAAATAATTAAAAACTACAAAGACGTTAGATTAAAGTTTTTACGGAGTATTTAATTTTAAAATATAGCAACACCAAGAAACATTTCATCTTTACAGTAGCGACGAGAGAGTTGAAAACTGTAAGTGTAATTGAAAGAAACGAAATTAACAAGAACAGGCAACTTTAAGTTAATTCCAGTCGGAATTGCTTTCCAATAGATTTTCGCAATTACGTGGATGAAATTTGCAAGAACTTCTAGCAATAAGAAGCTAAGATAGTTAAGTTTTTAGTTCTGTTTCTTAATTTGCACATGGATGTTATGGAACCCGATATAGTAGGGAAAGATCCTACTTCTTACTAATATTATAAATGAGACAATTTAGATGAATAGACGGATGTTTGTTAGAAGGTATCTCCGGAACGGCTGAACAGAGCTTAGAGAGATTTGGCATACAGTCTGAAAGATCATATAGATTACTTATTAAGTTTTTTTATTCCGCACGGTTTATGTCGCGGGCGACAGCTATTTTGATCTAGATCTACAGATGTGACAATATTTCCGATTACTTGTATCATAAATAAGTTGCATGATTTTAAAATAAATATGTGTACTATGTTTTCAACTATATCGTTACCTGTAATATACTATACCAATATGATTTGATGCCTGTAATGTTTAATTTTTATTTAACACATTTGACGCACACGAAGTCTAATGTGCTAATTGAAACAAAAATATTATCAACAGCCATAATTCACTGGAAATACTCTCAATATTGATTCGTATACTACATATCTTTAAATAAAAAAAGGATCTTGGCAGACGGACAGACGGACCACAAAGTGAACTTATAAGGATTCCGTTTTTTTCCTATGAGGTACGGAACCCTAAAAAGAAAATTGCTTAAAAAACTTTGTATTTAACAGTAACAATAACAACTTAATTTGACTTGACTTAAAGTCCTACGTCCCCGTAGTGGGGCAGAGGAGGTCTACAGTACGCCACCAGTTCGCTCTATCTTGGGCTCGGCGTTTGGTTTTGGGCCATGTCAGTCCGATTGCCTTTATTCGGCAGCTACTGAACGCCGCCAAGTTTGTTTAACTTAATTTGAGAGAAATATAAAAACACAAAAGTATAACCATTCATATTTTGTCCAAAGTATCAAAAGGTTATGTGTCTTTACATTCTGTACCACTTAATCGCCCCTACTTAACACTTCCAGTGCTACTAATTATATTCCTGTTAAAGTGAACACGCAAGGCGAGTCAGTGGCTGAATGTGCTAAAACAGTCACTTCAATATTGAATTAAAATAATCAATACCATCGTGTTGAATGACGCCGACTACATCATATACCAGATATGGAATCAGGCAGAACGACTTGTTATAGGTCAATTAGACATTTGCCTTGTAAAATCTACAACTAATATTTTTTTCTGACATTCCTCATTAAAAAAAATGACTCGTTTGACAGCATATAAATAAAAAATATGACTGTTATTATAAAAAAACTTAAAATGTCGATATTTGCATCTTTATAGATGATAAGGAAAAGTCATAACCTTAAAATAACTTGACATTGTCTACTTTAAACTTGACCACAATGTTATAAGCAAAGTTTCCTTATTCTATCAGGATGTTTAATCTTCCCTTTTCATAACTATAATTATATTTAAATATACACAGATGTCAATGATAATATTTAATAAATCTCTCGCTTTAGTTTGCTTTTAAAAGAATTAATATTATCATTAAAAACAAAACAACAGTAAGGTCATTTATTTTATTGTTTTATTATTAAAAGGCTATTATAAATCCCAAAAGATTTATTTCCACCTGACTTCCTAATATACGAGATGATATCAAGGATTTTTCCTTATTACATGTAGCATGAGTTTTCACAAATCTTTCTATTAAGTAACAATAGCTCAGTGGATAAGCACCTTAAGGTTTAATACTGGGGTTCTAGTTAATTTTGGTATATGGCTCATTTCCATTGCACACTTGAAAAGCTACAGTAGTCAAAACCCAACAGTAAGATCATTGAAACATAAAGTATGTAATTATAGTTCATATACGAAAAAAATCTAACAATATTTCGTCTACAAAACACGGAAACGGAACAGAAACGTGTACTATCTTTTAATTTCTCGCACTGAATTAATTTTGAACAATGATAAAGGATAATCTCATTGTATAAGATTTGTACCATGTGATGTTGCAATAAGAGTAGCCGGTGAGTATTGTGCAGACAGTCGTAGTAACGGCGTTGCCCAATGCGCAGGTTGTCTCGATATTTTTGCGCAGGCGCAGACTGTGGTCACGTGACGCGGATACCAGCCAATGATTACGTTCGTTTATTATTGTGTCTGTTAAAATGACGTATTTATTTGTGCGGTTATTTTAATAAGTTGTAATTTTGGCGGGAAAATAGTTCGAAAGGTGAGTTTTGATGTAACGTTTCGTTTACGCACTTTGTATGTTTACTTTTTACGATTTTCAGTAATCTTTACCATGCTATTATTTTATTTAAAAGAACAGAGCGATCCCTGTTACTAGCAGATTAATTAATTCTTTTAAATTAATTCGTAGATTTGTTTTATATAAATATCAATAAACATTTAGCTGTTCGAATATTTTTTTTATCTTCGTGCAAATTTACCTAAATGTCTAGAAGCCAACCGGATCACCTCGTTTTTTTTCTTCATACACAGTGTATTCTTTTTCCTCAATAATTATTATATAAGGTATAGCAGTTGCCTGCGACTTCATTCGCGAGGAATAAAAATAATCTGGTAATAAATATAGGCTATATCACCCGGGGATAGAGTAACTTCCCATCAGTGAAAGAATTCAGTAGTTTCGGAGCCTATTCAATGCAAACAAACAAATCATTCCTCTTTATAATATTACTAGCTGTCGCCCGTGACTCCGTCCTCGTAGAATTAAAAAAGTTAATAAGTGACCTATGAGTTCTTTCAGACTGTGCTCTATATCTACGCCAAATTTTATCGAGATCCCTTCTGTCGTTTTAGAGATACGTTTAAAGAAACATCGATCCATCTAAACATTCGCATTTATAATATTAGTAAGATAGTATTATAGATACTAAATTATGTAACTTTAAAAACCAGTCTACGAGCATTGTGTAATTATATCAATAGTTTATTCTATGAGGACATGGGATTTCCCCAGCAGTCGATCATATGTCAATATAAGAAAAATGTACATAATTCGTAATGTAAAATAATTATCGACATGTCATGATGTGGTTATGCATTCAAATATTATATGAATAACTAGCTGCCCGCGACTCCGTCCGCAGGGAATTAAAAAAAATGGTAGCCTGTGTCTTCAACCAGACTATATCCTACATCCGTGCTGTTAAGCCGCTCTGGAGATACGTTCAAACAAACATCCATCCATCCATCTAAACATTTGCATTTATAATATTAGTAAGATTGTATGAAGTCAGTGATACAAAAAGGCGTGTTGTAAATAAATTGGCTTAACGTATAAATAACAACATTCATAATAATCACTTAATGAAGAAGGCAGGAGAATAGATTTTTTAATTTTACTTTGATGATTAGTTGAAATCTAAATTTCCAATTCAAACGTGTGATAAAAAATGATTTTAGTTGTTTAAACACATGTAAATTGTAAGTCGAATGAGGAAAAGTCATCACAATCCGTGAGATAAACAGTTAATAATATATTGATACATACTTTAGCGATAGTCCCAAATGCATTTAAAGATAAAAGGCCAAGCAGGGACATTCCCGCCTTAAAATAAGAGTATTAAAGTACGACGTTTGACCTTTTCACTAAGCATAATTCATCCTTACCTTTTGATATTTGTATTTTTTAATCAATTTCTTGTGTTTATTCTAAATAATTTTGACAATGTAAATATAGACCAATATCCGCATTCAAGGGAGTTACGTTTCGGGATTATGCCACGGATACCGTAACCGCTACTAAATAATTTTGATGGTGAATACGGAGTTTGCCTACAAGTTTATGTCCGCGATTTTTGACAAGAGAAAATCGGGATCGCGGATAGATAGTTGACTGGTTAACTATCATGTTGAAAATATTTACGAGCAGTAATCGGTGATTTAAATTAGTTTATTACCGGCTAGTACATTTAAAATTTTGTTTGTCTTGTTGTTTGTGCAATTAGGTTTTAACTTTACTGCAGTCCTCAGTCAAGACCAATTATTACTTTCGAAATTGATTACGTTAATGTATCAAAAGAAATTTATTCTTATTGTACGTATATCAAAGCAAGTCATTGAACTCTGTCGACTGCAGACATTGAGTTATCGAGAGTAGTTGAAGCAAGTATGGAGTGATGTTTGAATAACATACAATGCCTTGATAGCATGTGTATCAATAATATCTACTAATCCTGTACCTACATAGCCTATGGCAAAACTATAAACTCAATATCCTTCATCTTTTTATGTAAGATTTGTACAGTCAGCTGCATAAATTTTTATACATTTATAAAACACTAGCTGTCGCCCGCGACTCCGTCCGCACTTGATTAAAAAATAGATGTTGGCCGATTCTCAGACCTACTCAATATGCTCACAAAATTTCATGAGAATCGGTCAAGCCGTTTCGGAGGAGTATGGGAACGAAAATTGGGACACGAGAATTTTATATATAACCTAAACTTGGACAGCTTTCCTCAATCTTACTAACATTACAAATGCGAATGTTTAGAATTTAGATGGATGGATAGATAGATGGATGGATGGGTATTAGTTTGGAGATATCTCCGGAACTGCTCAACAGATCTTCGTGAAATTTGGCACAGTTGTAGATCATAGTTTGGAAGAACACTTAGGCTACTCATTAAGCTTTTTAATTCCGCGCGGACGGAGTCTCTGGCGGCAGTAAGTATTATATATTTATGTAGGGAAGCATACGGACGGATAAGTGCACTCATACTTTGAAAATCTTATGAAAATATACATAGGGTTTCTTAAATCTCTAATCAAGGTCGTTTATAGGTCAAACCTACTGAAGCGCAGCTAACAATTTTTAAACTATTTATTGTCGAATCATTTTAACTCAAGTCAAGGAATGATTTGTTTTTATTTTAAATGTTAGCCTTGAAAGACTGACTAACCGAGCGGCAAAAAGCTGAAAAACCTTTTACTCAGTTTCTTACAAATCCAAGGCTGCAGATGTAAAAAAAACCTTTGGTTGTTCTATTACAAAGGGTACAGTATAAGGAAACTTTATCAATATAGTAAATGCAGTGTTAAACCTTCATTTATAACATAGTTCTTACATCTATTTTAACATGACATGATCTTTGAACTACAAAAAAATGTTAACTTTTAACTTCTACAATCTATCTTTAATTATAGCATACTTACCTAAATAGTAAATTAGTTTAACAAAATTTATTAAAAATATTACTCTTCTAATGTTATAAATGCGAATGTTTAGAAAGTTTAGATGGATGGATGAATGTTTGTTTGAAGGTATATCCGGAACAGCTCAACGGATGTTGATGAAATTTAGCAGAGATGTAAAACATAGTCTGGAAGAACACATAGGCTATTCAATATTTTTTTAAATCACGCGCGGGTAAGTCCCGGGCGACAGCTAGTATTTTGCAGTTTTTCATAAACTATACAAACAAATGAATAACCACAACCTTGTCACGTTTTCTTCCAGGCGTAACGATGTTCAAGTTATCGCATCCACTACGTCTATTGGGTCGTGTGTTCCCGATAGTGCGGTGGTCGAGGAGTTACGACCTGCGAACGAGCATTGGCGACCTAATAGCCGGGATTACAATCGCTCTAACATTGATACCGCAGTCGATAGCGTACGCCTCGCTCGCCGGATTCGAACCTCAGGTGAGAACTAATGCGACACCAACAATGTGCTAAAATGGTAACCATATATGACGATGTATGTGTTTTGTGATTGATCTTAAAACATATACCAGGTGCAGAAGTAGAAAAATAGATGTAAATTTTACTTATGTTATTTTATATTGTACTTAATTGTTAGTGTAAAGATGTTCAAAAATTGATTGTTAGTAAACAATTAGAGGGGTGACCCCTAACCTAGGAAATGGTTCGAGCCCCTCAGTAGCAACGTATAGTGATCTGATGAAGTTGAAGCTAGTAGTACTCGCTTAATTAAGACCACTACACCACACTATCTGTAGTGTCATATTGATGGTTTATTTTTAAATTCCAAGAGAAAAAACAAAAGCAAAAAAACGTATAGACGTTCTTACTGCATAGTCGTTTTCATATTTTTAAAACGTTATAAAACGTTAGATGTTGTTTAAAACTGCTATAATGTGTGTATGGAGTGAATAAAACGTTTCATTTTATATTCCAGTATGGATTATACGCTTCGTTCGCCGGTGGCTTTGTCTACGCAATAATGGGTACATGCCCTCAAATAAACATCGGGCCCACCGCTCTGCTCTCTCTGCTCACCTTTACGTATACCAGCGGAACTAATCCCGACTTTGCTGTACTCTTGTGTTTTATAGGCGGCATTGTAACTTTAGTAGCTGGGATTGCACAACTCGGTACGTTTGTAAACAAATCGCCTTTGTTTTCAACCCCTACAAAGACACTGAAATAATAGTAAATTGCGTAAAGAAATTATAGTGTCAAAAGCTTTCGCTGAGAATAATGAATTCATCTCTACTTATATTGTTTTAACTTGTTTTCTTGCATTTACCTATATATTACAAATTGGACTTACAATTATACTGTAAACTGAAACCAAACTTACTTGATTTAATTTCAATTTAAACAGAACTACTACGCTATTGATTTTTTCACAAAATTTTGCTTTTTTCAGGATTCTTAGTTGATTTCGTATCGTTGCCAGTGGTATCTGGGTTTACATCAGCAGCAGCAATTACGATAGCATCGTCTCAAATCAAAGGACTCCTCGGGCTAAAGTTCAATGCTGAGTCATTCAAGGCGACATGGGAAGGCGTTGTTCATCACATTGGAGACACGCGCATGCAAGATACGCTACTTGGACTTGCATGTTGTATTGTATTGATGGGAATGAAAGTAAATATATACAACTTCTCTGATTATGTACTAACAAATTATATACTAACAAATTCTCACGTAACTACACGTATGTATGTACATATGGGTAGATGTATGAATGTAAAAGAAGCGACATTCTCGTGTCTAGACCGCGGCAAATGGAGGTTGTGGACTCTGCCTAACACTTTGGGTTACGGGCGTGAGTTATGTGATTGTTGTTTATATCTTATCAGACAATAGGTTAAATTAATAGTGATATGGTTTGTTTTCGCATAATGTTTTATTAACTAAATATTTTAATTACTAAGCAGAAGTTGTGGTTTATAGAAATACCGCAGTTATTTTACAACAGATGTTTCTTACAAGTATGTAGTATTGGTATTTTGATTTAAAAGCATTGGTGCGAGACAGCCATATTTGTCAAGGGTGTATTTATTTAGGTCCAGGTTCATTTTATTTGTCACTTATGTACACATTAAAATGCCCTTGACAATTTCAACCGTACATTTCTTGTTACTTATGGTATAAAAAAACTGTGCGATAATATATTTCCATCTCTCTCATTCAACAAATGTCCATTTTGTAGGTTATAAAAATATGATATAATGTGAGCGTTGAATACAAAATGTTTTAAACGATTGCGGAGACGAATTAGTAATTACAATTGTTGTAGGAAAATGTTAACACTTGCAGCGCCTTCATTATTTCTCAATTACAAAGTCGAGGCTAAGTATAAACGTTCAGAATGTTAATAAGGCTTTAACGCCTGCATGCGTTCACTTCTTCCGGGAATTGTTATACGTTTTCAATTGTTGTCAAACAGACACAAGTTATATAATTGTGTTTATTTTTAAAATAAACTAAATGTTAATATATTTTGCGATCGAAATTAAGACTTTATTGAAAGATACGTAACGTGATTGAATTTACTTTACTTTTAAATATCTAAGTACAGTAAAATTGCAGTAAGAAGTTTCTTTTTCTAAGTTAATAATTCTTAAATCAATCTTCAGACACATCTTACGAGACAATAAGACGTTCCTTTAGTATGATATTGTACCTTTTATTACGCACGGTAAAATAACAGGAATTTGCAATTACAGGCAATGAAGGACATCCGCTTAAAGGAGCCAGAAGACGACAAAAGCCGTCGCAGCGCTAAAATAATTCAAAGGAGTCTATGGTTCGTGGGTGTTTCGAGGAATGCAGTAGTAGTGGTCATTGCATCTGTCATCGCTTTCTTTGTCTATGAGGATAAGAATTATCCTTTGATGCTGACTGGTAAGTAAATTTTTAATTTTAATTGAATATAATAAAAAAATTAAAAAGTACGCAAATAGTCAAAAAATGAACTAAAATTACTCTAAAACATTTATACTATGGTCTTCACTGACTACTGACTGTTTAAATTTAGGCATATATTAATTTATCAATTAAATGAATTGAAATTCGTGCCTTCATTTGAGTAAAATATTAAGAAAAAGGCCTTATTTTTTATTTTTAAATATTCTCGATTCTCTTGCGTAATATGTACCAGTATAAAGGTACCTACGCAAACAGACTTGACCATTAAACAATCCTTAAAAAACAATTTTATTTACTCATGTTTCAGGTTCAATAACACCTGGTCTGCCCACACCTCAGTTGCCACCCTTTTCCAGCAACATTGGAAATACTACAGCTTCTGCAGGCCAGATGCTTGCCCATCTCGGCTCCGGATTGATCGTGGTTCCTGTCGTTGGTATCATATCGAATGTTGCCATTGCAAAGGCTTTTTGTAAGTTAATTGAAAATAAACCTTTTATTTCCTGAGTCATCATCATCCTACCATTATCACTAAGGAGGGTCGGAACAGTATGTAGTACTCCTCCATACATCTCTATTAGCCTTCATATCTAAATTCACCGCTTTACGCACATCCTCGTTCACACAATTTATCCATACTTTATTTGTTCTTCCTTTACCTTTGTAGCCATCCAGATTCTATCTCAATTCTTTTTTCTGGGTATAAATTATATAAAATTTAAAGTTAAAGCTTGAAATAGCGAGTAAAAGAAATTAATAAAAATATAATATTAAACTCCTTTAATTCTGATTATAAATTATGAATTAAACTTTATCCGAAACTTATAGCTATCTATTTGCAAAACGAAATTACGAGCATTTATAACCATTTCCTTCTTCATACTTTTTCAAGTCTTGTAAATTCTGGATATATTATTCCCGACAATGATCGGTCAAGGAAAGGTCGGCTTAGGGTTAGAGCAATTAAAATAATTTAAGGATCTCTGATGACTGTTGCCGGCTGTAAATTGTGTATTGTGGAAGCTTCGGTCTAATTTACATTGAAATATATCTAAAGCATGCGAATTCTTCGAGGGGAATTACGATTTCCATGTAAATTGTGCTGCAGGGTTTGTTTTGATTACGCTTCTATGGAGGCGAGCGTTGTTATGTTCATGCCGGCGATATTAAAATCTTGGAATAATGGAATAAAGTTAGAAAATACAATGCCCAAAGGCCCGTTGGAAGTTCACTGAACCGGGATGATTATTTAAGCCTGTAATAAAGATTTTTATAATCAAACGTTTGTCCCAAATATTAAAACCTCATTTTATTCTTTGTCTAACTAAATTAAACTAAAAACCTGAATACACTAGTTACTTCACCTACAATGACGAAGCATTCCTACCTTATTTAGGTTCTTTAATAATAAGAAATAAATCGATACTTATAAGTTTACAAAACTATGTCTAATTTGAAGAGTATAATTTATATTATTTCCAGCTATTATTAGACAAACCACTTTACTTTTCATGCTACCCTATTGTAAAACAATTTGTCCAATAACTTGAAACACGAATACAAATTCTAGTAACCCAAAAAAACAATATTGTACTCACTTGTGTAACGACAGATTGATAAGAATAAAGTTATATTTTCTTTCAGCCAAAGGCAAAACGTTGGACGCAACTCAAGAAATTGTCACTTTAGGAATTTGCAACATAATAAGTGCTTTCTTCCGATCGTACCCTGTGAACGGGTCTTTCACTCGAAGCGCTGTAAGCGATGCATCAGGCGTAAGAACACCAGCCGCGGGCTTCTATACCGGTATTTATGGCTTCTTTATTTCCATTTATTCAGTCTTCATTTCTTATAATTTATTGGTTTACGTTGTCATATTGTAAGAAGCATATTTTTATGGAAGAAAAAAATAGAAAACTGACATTAAGTATTGAAGTAAGGAAGAAAAGATAAATAAGAAATTTGTATTAAATACTTCGATCTTTAATTGTAAAACATTTGTCACAAAGAAAAATAAAAACAACGAGGTATTAAGATGACGTCATCAGAATAAAATTTTTGCACTCCGCGTATTTTATTTAAGCGAAACATTTTAAAATTATTTTTATACGCGGACTCATTCTATGTTTCTCATTAAATCAAGTATGAAGAAGTGTTTATCTCTGCAGGTATAATTGTGCTGTTAACCTTGGCGCTTCTGACGCCGTATTTCTATTTTATCCCGAGAGCGGCGCTGTCTGCAGTCATCATATGCGCGGTGCTACATATGGTTGACATTGCTATTATTAAGAAGTTATGGGCTACAAGTAGTAAGTATGATAAAGTAGTTGTTGCCCGCGCGTCCGTCCGCGCGGAATTAAAAAAATTGAATTATTTACTTAATATAGCCTATGTGTTCTTCCAGGCTATGCTCTACATCAGTGGTTCCCAAACTTATTTTGTCTACTGGCCACTTTGAGAATAATATCTTTAGCGCCCCTATATTTTAAAAACCACTATAACTTCAAATTAAATTAATTATTTATTATGACCTATATATTTGTATATTAACGGAGAATTCTAAACGAAACTTTTACTATAACCCGCAACTTGAGACCTGCAGCGCCCACAAGGGGGCGTTGTCGCCCACTTTGGGAAAGACTGCTCTACATCTATGCCAAATTTCAGCAAGATCCGTTTAGCCGTTCTGGAGATACATTCAAACATCCATCCAAACATTCGCATTTATAATATTAGTAAGAAGTAAGAAACAAAAGTTTTGTAATCGTGACTGAGTTTTGACTGCCGCGAAACTTGTATTGATACATATTGTAGTATCTGTTTTATAAAAGAAAACGAATGATGACACCACGAAATTTTTCAAGTGCTTCGACAGTCTTAATTCACAGTAATAATAAGACCAAAACTTTATAAACAAAGGCCACTCATTAACACATAATTATATATTTCATCTAAAATGTTGTAATTTTATAGAAATTGTGAGATAAAAGAAAGTAAAATTGTATGTAACATGAATAGACAATGTGAGAAAAAGTTTGTACCCTGTTATTTATTTACTTATTATAAAAAAACGTTTCTTGTTTTATCTATTTTTTGCTGTTAGAATGAAGTGTAGCGTACTAAATTGCAAATTCTTACGTCTAAGTTGTAAGCGTGCTGTTATTAACTCTACCTAGTGAAGTCGAGCTATTAAGTTAAATTTAGATTATGTTACGATACAATAAAGGTAAACTTTTTATTATGAAGACAGCCAAATTGCGAACTGAAGTATTTGTCTCCCTATTGGTATATGGAAAAAAACATAAAAACTTAATATAGGCCATAACTAAATAGTGCGTGTAAATGGTAAATTATTCTAATTGTATTTTCTAACAGTGAATTGGGTGCGGCCAGACAAGTATATTAATTATTTAAATTAATAATTACTAGTAATATTTTATGTAATAACTTTAAAACTCTTAAGTTATTACTTCTGTTATTTATTGGGTTATGTTTGAATTAATACCAATAATGGAACACGTAAAATCAATCGTAAAAATTGATTTCATGCAACCCGCGTACTACTTGATTAAAAATAATTGAAATTACTATCGCCTCCGCATACTTTATGCAGTGCACACAACCTTTATTCAGCCAACGAAGCAAGATATTAAAGCGTAATTGTGCGCAAACATGTTAAGCAACGTTATTACAATGTTCATCATTTCTTTAGTTATAAAAAAAAACGTCTAACATCTTTTACGTCATACCTACATTGACAAAGACTGTTTTCGATTACAGCAACAGGGTCCCTTGTTGCTATTGTAAGAGACCACAAATATACAGCCTTCGTAACAATAAGACAGTTAATCTAAGAAGAGCAAGGAAACAGACAGAAAACGTGTCATGGAAAAGATTAAAAGAGTTTTGTAATATTATTTTTTATATTATAAGGTGGCAAGCGAGTAAGCGGCCACCTGAATTCACCGAAATAGCGTAGTGGCCGCTGCCTATAGACATTCGCAATCACAGATGCGTTGCCTACCTTTAATTGACATAGAATATATTTCTTTCTTATTCATCCAATCCTTCGTCAAATCCAACACGGATAAATTTCCATCCCATTCATGGGATGAATTTTAGTCACAACTAATGACGTAATTCTTTAAGCTTTTATTGATGTTTCAGGACTGGATTTGATACCACTATTCGGAACGTTTATATGCGGTTTGGCTCTAGGCGTTGAAGTCGGCTTAGTTTGCGGCGTCGCTGTTGATATATTGTTACTCCTGTATTATCACTCTCGTCCACCACTTGAAGTGCAGTTGGTAGATGTAAGTATTTATTTAGTAATCAATTAAAAAATCTAACCTATTTGTTGGAAGCATTCTTGAATTTTATATATAACATGGTAAACAAACTTATGATTTAAGTGTCCCAAATTATATTTATTAACTAGCTGTCACGCACGGGGTTAGAAATACCTTATTAGTAGCCTATGTGTTCTTCCAGGCTGTGTTCTACATCTGTGCCAAATTACATTAAGATCTGTTGAACCGTTCTAGAGATACCTTCTAACAAACATCAATCCATCTAAATATACGCATTTATAATATTAATAAGATTGTAAAATTCTTTACAGGATGGAATTATAATACCGCATTACGCAGTTCGTCCAATCGGAGGACTACATTTCGCAGGCGCTGAGAGACTTCGGGCGAGACTGGTGGCTTTAAAACATACAAAGAGTATGCAACCTCAGACCATCGATACGATACATGTTACGTCAGACGGCAACGAAATGCGTATTACTGTACCGAACGGTATTAGTGGCACTATTGTGAAACCTTTAAAAGTTTTGGTCATACACTGTGATGCTCTATCAAGGATGGACTACACGTTCATAGAGGTATGTCCATTTGTTTAATTATTTCATTCATTGTCAAATATACGTACTATGATACAATTTTGTGCGAAAATTTCTAAAAGTAATTTTCAATACGTTTTCAAACGTGTAAATAAGTGTAATTTAAAAATCATTCAACACAAAGGACGAGAAAACAACTGAATTTGACTATCGGAAAGGAGAATTTGTAAAGTAAAAGTGTCATTTTGATTCCCAAATTTGTTAAAAATTCTAATTTGTTAATTAAGTTAAAAGCCAACGTTTGGTAATTTAAGATGAAAAAAGCCTATGTAATTGTGGTACAGAGTATGAAGATGCTGGTATCAGACTGGTCTCGAGATGGCTGCGTGATCTGGTGCGACGCGAAACCCGCCGTACAGGAGCAGCTCAACACAGTACTGCAGCAGCCCATATTCTGCAACTTTGACCAGCTCAGCGCGATACTAACCAGTAAGTTTAATATTATACGTCCAACTCGACACAGCAAATATCTCCTTACATAATACAAAATGCCGAAAACTGGAAAAGGATATATGACACAAATAAACATTTTTACTTCCGATAATGGAGTAGCTTATATCTACCAGTCCATTAGAAGAAAAGACTAAGATTAGTTAGGAGAAACATAGATTACAGTACAGATTTGAAATCTCATAGTTAATATTAAGCTGTTCACCTATCTTGCTATCTTTAAAGATATTTTTTTAATTTTTATTTTATTGTTACAGGAAATTTCGCAATAGACACACATGTTAACAATATATGTAGTGATACTCCGTTATGAGATCGGTAATAAGTTCCCAAAGACGCACGGTGTGAGACATGAATTGTTGATAAACCCCAGTCAAAAGTAAATACCACTTTAACGTGTTTGAATGTACTAAATCTTAAATAGGAATTATGAACAAAGAATCCTGCAGTAACTTCTTTTACAAATTAAATTATATATTAAACAAATTTCAAAACCAGTTAAAGCCAAGTAATCACCAAATAGACTAGAATCACGCATCATATAAACAGAAAATTCTATTTATACTGTTATAAATACTGTTGTATTTCTCCTGGCCTCAAGTACAAAGATGAGATTTATCCATTTCAAACTATCGTATAAGTATGCCTCAAGCGTTCTGTTTAGATAGAGCATTTCAAATATTGACCCTAATACAACTGGGTACATAAATCGATGTTATATTAAAAACGTATCTTATTTTTTTTATAAATCTCACCATTTTAATGGACTTTTTGTAGAAACACATTTAGACTATGGTAATTTTAACTAATGATTTTTTAATGTTAAGCATCATTTAGTCAAATTACAAAAGCTTCACAAATCATGAGGAAACAATAAGGCAAAGTTTTCCAACTCTATGACTTATAGAAAGGGGAGTTCCTAAAATTAAATGTAACGTATTATGATACAAGCTTATCTGGGCCGACAGAAGGGGCGCTACTATCGCTTTATTTTCTGAACTTACGCGACAGCAGCGCCCCTCACCAACTTAGATATCCATGTTAAACTATTTTACAGTATTACTGAAGTGGATTTACTTCTTCTGTTTTATTGATATAAGTTAATAGATTTTAAGGAAATTGTTATATCACAGTTTGTAAATATTTTAAAGTACAATATATTATTTATTGTTTAGCTTAGCATCCGAACCAGTACATTGAATGTATGATATGTGTACATATATTTTTATACAGATTAAGTTTGTTTCGTTATTAATATAACTATTAATTGCTGACCTCATAGTGACTGCAATGTTAAGTTTATGTAGTAATAAATATTGTATTATTATTAAAGTAATATTAAATAAAGATCTGATTTGCTTAGAAAGTTTTTTTTTTATTTTTTTCCCCTCAAACAATCATTTCTATTTCATCAAAATATCTTCAGACTACAATAACATAAGCATTTATATTAATATTGAAGGGTGTACATTGTTTTTTCTCTATGTTTCATATTACATTCCAAAGCAAATAGATTTATCATGCGACGAATATATTCGCTACATTTGTATAGAATTTATTGCTTTGTATCAAATATTCATCGAGGAATCCGTTCAATCGGTATGCCAGTTTTACTGTATTGTGTCTTGTTTCCATTGCCGGTACACCAGTATGAAAGCATAATTTTGTTTCTCTTTTATCAAAGATAATGAGACGTTGATGTGTTGCTATACATGTGTTTGGATCGTGAAAACTCATAGATAGAATCAATATCTTGCTTTGAAGACAAAATGTCGAGTGAATAAATACGTAAAGGTTTTGGGATTGGATTTATTTTACGTTCACTGTTTTCTTTTATAAATTAATAATTATTTAAACAATTATTTCAAGATAATCTTAAAAATATCAATAAAAGTATTGTTCAAGATATAAGAAGAAATTATAAAATAATTTGTGCAGGTACTTCCAGTTTCTTCTGCAATAAAAACTAAATGAACTCCCTATTATAAAAGTTTTATGATCTCAATCAAGTGTACTTTAATTTACAGCACCGTTTAACTTTACATTTTTCATCGTTCAAGAAAAGATTGTTTTATTATTATGAAAAAATGTGTTACTAATTATTTAGAGAAGAACGTAATAAAAGACACATTATGTTTTGCTCCAGATGCTATTTCTTACCGGCATAGGAATAATCTATTGAAATATTTTTATTCTGTGGCATTGTTTAAAAAAAATTAACTAAATTAAAACGAAGCAACATTAGATCAGTAATAAAAATCTAAAAATAATTGGACACTTGATACGCCACGATATTTTCTTATGAAACAACTTTGAGGGAAAAATTTAAGAAAAAAATTACGCTAAGCCGAAATCGTAGCTTTTTTAGCTATCAAACATTTACGATTAGTTTCTAAGACCAAAAATCCTCATGTAACAAAAACATTGTTATCTGTTATATCGAAGATAATGAGAGAGATGATTATAATTTCTATTCGGTGATTTTGTTCTCAAAAAGCAACAAACATTCCGAAGTATTTAAAATTAAAATCTTAGGTAATATTATACTTTCAAAGCTATATACGTATATGTATTCGTCAGATGAATATCTTTCTCATTCCAGTGTCTAGTTTTAAATAAATGCAACGATATTTGTCAGTTGCTATTTCACGTTTCGAGATAAAGTCTTGTTTTATTTGGCCTCAGTGCAAAAGCTTAGCTGGCGTGTATCGTACAAGAGCTCTCTTAAGTGGCACATGTTCAGGGAACGTGCTTATCTTTGCATATTTTTGTTCTATTAATAAAATTTAAAACTTAACACTCTAAGATATAAATATCTTTCAGATAGTTTACAAAACATTTTAATTTTAGAATTATTTATCTGGGACCTGATCGAATATAAATATTGCTTAACAACATAAGAAGAAAAGTATCCTAATGTAATTCGCGGTAATGTAAATTTCCAAGACATATTATAATAATGAGCCATGAAAGAAAATAGAAAACGGGGTTAATTGAATCAAACCATACTAATATTAGCTGTCGTATGCAACTCTATCTGCGCGGAATTAAAAAATTGATAGTATCCAATTATTAAACCTACTAAATATTCATATAAAATTTCATAATAATTTCTCAAGCCGTTTCAGAGGTATGGTACACGAGAATTTTATATATGTATACGACTATATAGAGGAAAGTCATAATTGATTGTTTGCATTGAATAGGCTCCGTCACTTATAAGTAAATTAAAAAAAAAACACTGTTGGAAAGCTACACTTTACCCGGATGACATGAGCTATTAGGTACAAATATTTTAATTAATTATTCATATTAAACAAGAAACAAAATAAACTACTGGAAGTCGTTTAAATGATATTGCACAGGAATCCCTTTATAACTTAAACCATTCATCGGTGACTAATTTCCAATAACCAATTTAATAGATAGTGATATCTAAAATTAACGATCATTATTACAGCAGTATGTAAATTTAATCTATGTTCCCGCCAGCGTACGTGTCTAAAGTAAACAAATTTGTTTTCACACAAAAGACGCGGACTCAATAATAACATTAGTTATTGCATTTTCATATGAAATATTGATGAAATTATTTGGTATAATATAAAGCTTAAATAAGTGTTTAATATTTTTTATTTTCATTCTTCTAAACACATTGTAGCCAGTATTCAAAGTAAGTTTACTAATTCTTACTAATATTATAAATGTGAATGTTTGGATGGATGGATGTTTGAAGGTATCTCCAGAATGGCTCAATGGATCTCGATTAAATTTGGCATACATGTAGAATATAGTCTGGTAGAACACATAGGCTACTAATTAACTTTTTTTTAATACAGAGTTGCGGGCGAAAGCTAGTCAGACAATAGATTCGATGAAAGTGAAAAAGTTTGTAAACGACTGATGCTCTTTTGTAATTGGCAGAACTAGAAAAAAATAATGATTCAAGTAATTATAATCATTATTCTATTAGAGTTATTGGATACTATTATATTAGTGTTTTCTTATCGAATGTAGTCTATTAGAAGTTTCAGTCTATAGGGTAGCTATTCCTGATAAGTTTACATGCTATTACGTGAAAATAGCAAAGGGGAAAATGCACGCGAGTAGCGTCGTTTCCGGACACTTCACTCGACGATGCCAACACTTCAGGTTAACGACTTGTTTTTTTAACAAAAAAAATGCGGAAGAAAACGGTTAGAAATTGCCACAATCATCATTCTGTTCCTTTAAATTTTGTATAATTATTTTTTTAACCGATTCCTGAGAGTTTGTGTGTTACTTTTGACGTTAGGCCTAATTACGAAACTATATATCTATCTTACAATTATAAATACGAATATTTGGATGGATGTTTGTTTGAAGGAACTCTAGAACGGCTAAACGGATGCCGCTTAAATTTGGCATACGTGTAGAACTTAGTACGGAAAAATAGACGACTGATTTAATTTCTCTTTAAATTCCGCGCGGACAGAGTCGCGGGCAACCGCTAGTAATCAAATAAAAACATAATCATTAAAGATGCCTTACTATATTACAGTACTTTTCAGCTTTTGAATTTTTTAGATATAATAATTTTACATTTTTTATATTTACATACGCCAACGTCAACATTTTACAAATTGAACAGTAAACGTTCGCCGCTACTCTTCCTACACAATAAAGGGTAAAAACCTTTAGTGTGTAGGTGGAATCTTTCTTCTTTTTAATTTAGTTAATGGTTGTTTACGATATTCCTTTATTTTATTTCTAAATGCGAATGTTTAGATGGATGGATTTTTGTTTGAAGATATCTCTGGAATGACTCAACGGATTTTTATTAAATTCGGCATACAAGTAGAACATATGGAAAGAACACATAGGTTACTTAATAAGTTTTTTTTTTTAATTCCGCGTCAACGGATTTGCGGGCAACAGCAAGTTTCAAATATAAAATTTAAATTAGGAAAATTATCGTTATTTATCAAAGCACATATTTGAAGCATTCGCTCTCCCTCAAGGCGGTACTAAAGGTCCAAGCGGACGATTAATGATAATTACATCTACCTAAATCTATTAAACCATTAAATGCTTTGGAAGGTTTAACATTAGCGAACAGTTTCTAACTTCAAACTGTGCAGCAAACAAATTAACATTCATTTAGTTAATTTATCGTTTTACTTTATCCTTAACGTTGGATATCTTTTAATTACTGTCTTAGATTTGTTGGAAAAAATATTTTAAATGGCTGTTTTCGAAAAGTTTATATGTTTAAAAAAAATTCCACTGAAGTGGCGTATGATTCAATTTTCTATATTTTTTTTTGTTTCACACAGTGAAAACCTAACCTTCTTCCTCCTTTACTTTTTATCTCGACATAGTGGTACGTTGCAATTCGATTAAAATAAATATATGATAAGTAAATTAATTCTAAAAGAAATCCAATTTCTTTTTCGATGTTTCACAAAATACCATTTTGTTTTATAACAGAATTTTATTATACATTTGTACAAAATTAACACACCTTAAACTGATATATAAACACGGCTAAACACTCACGTATATTCGTCCGGTGGAGGCACCGACTAGTTTCGAGCACATCGGGGGCCCTTCATCAGGATGAGTGGACTCACTGAGTGAGCTGAGGGCCGCGTCCGCGAAATAATACCAGTACCACTCATCCTGATGAAGGGCCCCCGATGTGCTCGAAACTAGTCGGTGCCGCCACCGGACGAATATACGTGAGTGTTTATATATCAGTTTAGTATCTCACAAAAGTTTGAATAATTTAACACCTTAAAATGCTAAGAATATCACAAATTTCTTAATAAGATTAATTTGTACTATTATCATATACTTATTAAATTTAAATAATCAAATTTATAAAAACGGTCCCCATCCGATGTACATTTGACAGAGATTCTGAATACTGGTGGCTTCCACGATGAGATGTTCCACTTGACCTTCAGGAGATAATGACAAGGTCAGTTTCTTATTTTTTGTCCGTACCTGAAGACAAAAGGTCATATAATGTCTTTCCTCAGACTAGTAATAATTATAATAATGATAAATTAATAAACTAAAAAATCCAGTAAAACAGACTTACGTACACGTTAAAAATGCAATTCGGATTTGCTTAACATGATCCGACTCGAGGGACCATCACACAATAAACTGAACATATTAACCGGTTTCATTTGAGAAATACATTCGATACGTCGTCCGAAAAGTATTCATTAAAAATAAACACTTATTTTTTTTTTATTTTTATGACACATATTGAAAAAGTAATCACCACTAACTTAGGGTAGTCTCCGAGACCCACCGTGGGGAGATATTGTGAAAACTGAGCTGATAATGTTGACGATCTATGACGGGTTGCATACAGAATAAATGTCAATTTCGACATTTTTTTAATTATAATTAATAAGTGTTCTTACCATGCCATTGAGACGATGTCGTATATGTGCCAAGTGCTGCACAGCCTCGGAGTTTGTGCGCTCGGCGCAGTCAAGACGGGCGCGACCCCACGACACCAGCGGGTCGTACACGAACGGCCCCACCACCGACATAAGCGCCGCTGTCTGCGCGCATAGCACGCGCATCACCGCCTCGCAGCATTTCCTATTGTTAAATTCAATAGAAATTACATATGTATTATATTCAGATATAACAGTTGCCTTGTACTTATCGCCAAAATTTAAAAAAAAATCTAGTAATAAATATAGCCTATGTCAATCGGGGATAGTGTAGCTTCCCAACAATGAAATAAGTTTTCAAATCGGTTCATTAGTTTTTAACCTAATTCAATGCAAACAAACACCAATTTTTAATTTTAGTATAGATTTCACGGGCTGACGATGTCATTTATTTTAGAACATTACAAACATGTCCGATTTCAAATAGTCTGTGAAATTCACAAGTCGTATATGAGCTTGTCTAACAAATACCTGAACATTCCCTCGTGCTTGAGTGGTCCCATGGCAGCCTCCATGTTGTGGGTGAGACGGAAGGGCACACGCTCCGGCCACTCGAATGTCTCGCCCTTGTTGAACAAGCAGTTGAAATCCACGTGTACAGTGTCGCCGTTAGTAGAGTCGAATGAAATGTTCTCGCCATGACGATCGCCCAGACCTAAAACATATTTTTTATACTATAAGGTGATAAACGACCAACCGGAATTCGCCAAAATTGCGAAGCAACCGCTGTCGATAGATATCCGTAATTCCTGATGCGTTGCCTAAATTTATTCGACGGAGGAGACCCACAAAAAGAAAATATTTCCCTCTCCTATGCATCCCTTCCTCCGTCAAATGTACATCCCTTTTTTTCATCCATTCCTTACGATTCTTCGATATTTTTAGACTATTTAAGCATTCTCAGAAACTCCTAACACATTTATAAGCTTATAGAAACCACATAGAATTTGTTTTATAACTGACCTAATATGTATCCAACCATCGACATAACAGCCGTTGTTCGTATATACGCTGATCTAGCTTGATACCTAAAACAAATAAAATTATCTATGTACATATTTATGTGCAAAAACATGTATCTTATCTGTGTGACTAAAATTTCAAAGAGTATATGATACAATTATTTATATACATATATTACAATATTTCGCAAACATGGTATCTTTGCATTGCTTTAAAAAAACTTTTTTTTTGGTCTATCTGTTCGCAAGTCCAGTTTGTTTCGGGTAATCTCTGAATGACTGGACAGATATATACAGGACTTTTATTGGAAGGTAGCTTATATATGCGGGAGTAATTTAGGATATTTTTTAATTCCGCTTTAACGATCTACATGTGATCGCTACACATAAATAATTAGTTAAGAAAATTATTAACAAACCATCCGTATGGATCAGAGAAGACACGTCTGAACCACTCCTGGAAGACTGGAGGATGTTTCCTTAGCAGATGTTGTTCGAATATTCGACGCATTTTATCCAGTGGATCGTTTTTGGAGCACATTAATTCTTTCAACTCCCTATTGGTGGTATGGATGCCTGCGAACAAGAAATAGCACAATAATATTTTTATTCTGCAATCGTTTACTGAAACAAATCGAATAAACACGTTTTACTCTACAATTTGTGTAATTATTTAAATAAGGTTAATATTAAGTTCATTATTTCGAATACTATGATCAATACATAACAAAAATCCAAGATTAAATTTGCAAATTTCAAATAATAGATAAACAAGGATATATGAACCGGTGAGGGGCGCTACTATCGCAGTCGGTTCTATCAGAACATATATAAAACCTGCTTAGACATAAAAGAAAAAAATGACTTGACAGCTACAGTAGTCTTGTGTCACTCTGACATTGACAGTGGCGCTAGTGAGCTGTCATAATTTAGTTTGACTTATTTCCATTTGTTCAGATAACCCTATCCATCTTTACACAAGCATTTTGTCTATTAGGTGCCACTTCCACTGCTGCACTTTTACAGAATGACAAGTCTAGTGGAAAATGTGTGTTATACCTTTCTGTTTATATATATGTAGCAGTATGGGCCTCAGACCGAGCAGGTTTGGCACCCACTGTATGAGGCCGCACTCCTCGTTGAGTGGCAGCACACAGTAAGTACGAATGTAAAGCCGTCGTCGCCGCGTCTCCGCCGCGTCTTGCAGGAACCGGTTCACTACCCCGTTGAACTCCATCAGACGGAAATCTTTACGGAGATCGTCTCGGGACTTTAGTAGTATTATGTACGATTTACCATCTGAACCTGTGGATAAAAAAATTAAGTCAAAACTTTTTAAGAGCACATCAGCCATTCATTATTTTTTTTTTAATTCCATGCGGTTTGACAGCTAATCTTATTAATATTATAAATGTGAATGCTTAGATGGATTGATGAATGAAGGGATGGATGGATGTTTGTTTGAAGGTATCTCCAAAACGACTGGACGGATCACGATGAATTTTGGCATACATAAAAACATAGTCTGGAAGAGTACATAGGGTGCTAATTAAGTTTTTTTATACTTTCCCGCGGACGGATTCGCGGGAGACAGGTATAGAAAAATCAACCGACCTTTTAATGTAACCTTTCTTGGTTTTTGCAATGACGGTAATATTTGTATGTCTTCTTCAATTCCCGCGATATACACTGCCGGCTCCTTGGGTATATTGAAGTCTATCCTCTCTTGTCGCGCCGCCTTGGACGGCAGGACTATCTTACAGAACTCCTCGAATGGTATCATAATACGACTGAAGTTATCACTGACAAGCAGACGAGGCAATGTACGAACCAGTGATGAAACTGTTGGCTTCTATAATAAAAATTTTGGCATCAATACGTGAAGACGTATTTTTATTAAAAAAAAAAGATTTCGAACAATTGGTGGTCATTTGTTACTATTAATAAGTAAATAGAAATTAACTTATGTGCTTTGCATATAATAAGCAACATATCTCAAGCTTAGTATTATTATTCTTAAAGATCTTAGCGGCCCAAGGTCATCGACGCACTGCGCAATGGCCTCCCCCTACATCCCACTATAAATACACCTAAAATTATGTTCTATGCAGCGACTCACTCGAACTTACGAGCCGCTAAGATATTTGAAAACATTTATACTGACCGTATTATTTCCAGGTATAGGCTTATTACACAGCTCAATTAATTTCTCAGCGAACTGGTTGAAGTCTGCCACCAGTTTGAGCATATGCGTGTCCTTGAGGCGAGGGTCAGAGAAGACATCTGAGCACCGCTTGATGCGCTGCGGGTAACTGGACTTTATAACGCACATCATCATCCATAATGTATGCTGAGGGTACGCCAGTATCAGCTTCACAATTATGGCTTTCAGTTGTAAGTAGACCTAGGTACAGAAATATTATATTACAAGTTGTAACTCGAAATCTTTGGGCCTAGGAAAAATAATTGTGACAATCACCTTCGTAGCGTCGTCTAATTAGTATGAGCTTTTTGGTGTACTTTATACCCGATAGAGGGCGATGGAGGATAGAATTTTAATAAAAAGTTTGTCGATGACGATACGATGGCGATTGTCTCATTGATGAATTTTATATTACAAGCATTTCCTATTGTTTTTGTCGTAATTTCAACAGTTCTTCGAATTTAATATATAATATTGTTGGTAGAAAAAATGTATACCTCCCTAACAGGATGACATATCCTGGATACGATTTGTGAGAAAGCCGTCAGGTATAAATATATGGGCAGCCTTTCGGAGTAAGTCTTGATGATTTCCGTCATTTGTGCCAACACTGTGTGTATGCCGGTGTCCGCTGACGTCACTTCCATATCCAACCTGTTACATTTACAAAATAAAACTAACTCAGGGTCTTAATGGTCGTAAACCATCGCTTAAGTTAGAAATGTCATAAAATTCACGCTGGAGACATCTTAACGAAAATGAGTGGGGCATTAAATATATATTATGAGACGTTTAGTGTAGTTAGTGCCGTACGACAAGTAAGACAAACCTACCCTAAGGGTATCCACGTTATAAGTCTGAGTGTGGTTGTTACTGACCACTTAAGAAGTCGGAGAAAGGTACTAAGCAAATGACGCCAGGCGTATATCAAAACGATCCTATTAGGAAACTACCAACTTGGCTACTGATTAAGGAGTCCTGGGTGACATTTATGGTACATACCATATAGAGAGCATTCTGGGCATGCTCTGGTACAAGTACTTGTGCCCGTACTGCAGCGCCTTGCCGTACGAGTTTAGCGCCTGAATGCGACGCGACCACGTCATACTGTTAGGTGTTGTATCATTGCTGCTCACTTTCTCGTAGTAAGCACCTAGACACACCTGAAAGTAAAGGAAATAGCAATTATCTTACTAATGGATGGATGTTTGTTAGAAGGTATCTCTAGAACAGCTGCATAGATCTCGCTGAAATTCGGCATATATGTTGCACAATTTGTAAGAACACATAGGCTACTAATTATTTTTTTATAATTTCACGAGGACGCAGTCGCGAGCGACAGCTGGATTTTGATGAGTTTTTCGTTTAAGTAGGGTTTACTATTTAATCTTAAACGTATATTGGAATCCGATAGGTGGCGTTGCCATCGGAATTATTTTGACAATTATTTTGCAAGTGTGAAATAAACTCACCAAACTCTTCTCCCATTGCTTGAACACTTCGACTGACTCCTTGTAATATCCAATATTAACATCTACATCCACTTTGGTGGTCTCGTCGTTATATTTCGCTATCAAAAGTTTTGCCTTTGCACAAATTTTCCTAAAATAATTTAAAAAAATTTCGTCAGTCATTTACTATACACATTAGTTATCCGCGCTTATAATACTTTGAATTCTAGATCTACATTAAATGTAACACACACGAGTGAGAATAAAATTAAAAGGCACTGGGGAAGGGCTTATGTCCAGCAATGGGCAAAAAACGGCTGATAATGATTACGATGGTGATAATGATGATGATAATGAAAGACGATGATGGTGATGATGAAATGAAA